GTAACAATTTAAAATCAAAGAATCTTTGTTTTATCAAAAAACAAAGGCAGAAGAAAAAAAGCACACAATTTTCCTATTGTTTGTAATCTGTGGCCTAGCAAGGATGGCCTCCTGAACACGCCCTTCTTTTATCAAATACTAGTATGGTGGGGAAAACATACGAAGAGATTCTAGGCAATTATTTTTCAACTCTGAAATGGTCACAGTCCAAAAGTTTCTAAAGCAACACAAGGTTGTAAGCCTTTTAATATAATTAAGCATGGGTTATTTCATTTATATGTTTTATATCATACTTAAGAAGTTATATACATTTTAGCATATTTTTATTCTAGTTGCTGCCATATCAACGTACTGGTATGAAATTGATTAAAAGACAATTTCTGTTCTAGAAATTAGTAGAATGCTCTTTCAGATCTCGAACTTGGCTTCAATCTTCACCTACAACATAGGACTCACTTATGTAGAACAATCCCCCAGAGGTTCACTCAACATAAATCTCATCGTACTCAGTGGAGATCATTTCAAGGTAAGCGTGCCAAGTATTGCAGCCTTATTTTTCTACCATGTTTAACAAGTGTGTGTATTTCCTAACTCTTCTCTCCTTCTCTTTCTGGCTTAATTCCAATGTCACAGTTCCAATGGACTGCCCACCTCACATTCTCTTACATGCCCAGTTTAATACAGGATATATGGGTCCAACAAGCAATGGTTCGTTTCATATGAGCTAGATTTCTGGGTTTTTCTTCTTTAGAAAAAAAAATCCCTAGACAGGGGGGGGGGGGAGGGCTGACGACACTGCTGTGAGCCACCTTAGGCCAAAATCCAACTAACCAGCTAAATACAAACAGCATTCAGGTAGTATTTCAAATAATATTTAACAGGATTTGAAGCCATTCTGTTATGCAATCTTCAGAAAACCTTAACAATAGAAACAGACATTTAATAATCTTGAATTTACTATTAGTTCCCTAAATTAGGCAGGATAATATACATCAAATAATGAAGATGAGCATTTGATTTGATAAGGGATTTAATACTGAAGTGATGCAATCTATTCTTGAGACTGTTAAAAAAGAACCTAACCTTTTAACAACACAGAGTATAATACTGAAATATCCTCCTTGGAGGCTTAACTCCGACAGCTTCAATCTCATGATACAGAAAGCTTGTCTAGACTGATCTCATGACAATATGTTACTGTTGTCTGTATAATGACAGGCCATTCAACTAGAATACCAACTATACTTGCTTTAAAACCAACATCCAAGATACAAATTCTACACATAATAAGTATGAAAAATAGTCCATATAATTCAAAAATTAAAGTCTTAGGAACTGAAGTACCGTCACTTCCATGTTTTCAATTACTATCCCCACACAAGCTTAAATGATCCAAGTTGATTAGCAATTTCAGTGAAGAATTCTGGTTATCTACGAACACATATGCACTTTTTCATGATCCAATCACTATACAGTAACCATCTCCTGCATTAAGTCTAACATGGCCACAACTGTACATCTCACAATTTTATCTAATCCCTACATTGACCAGTATTTATTCTCAGAGATGACCTACTGAAATCAAAGATTGAAATTGCTAAAGCAATTATTTAAAACTGTTTTGAGCAGTGCTTTTTTCGGGGGGGAGGGTGCAGGGGGACACCCCCCCTAAACATTTTGTGAATCTTTTTACTTTTGTCCATTTACTGTATTTATTTTTCCCAATTTGAACTATAAAAAGGTGATTTTCTTGAGTCAAATGTTAGAGTACCTCTAAACATTTTTTAAGAAAAAAAGCACTGGTTCTGAATATTGCCCCTTATTTTTATTATCATATTAGAGATATTAAAGTAACTTTTGAGAAGCTTTATTGTTTTTACCTTACCTGCATTTTTTCAGCTTTCCTTTCTGATCATATAGGATGAGTTGATCAATATAAGAACACTATGTGAACAACTGCTTAACACAGTGGTTGCCAACCTACTTATGCCCATAGGCATGTTTGGATTTTTGCATGAATGCCATGGTCATCACCCCTCTGGTCATCCCTCTCCCCCCCTGCACCAGATTCAATCTGGTGCAATCTGGGTAAAATTCAGATCCAGTACAATTAATCTGAAAGGAAATGGTCATTCCTTGAACTTCCTCCTACAGGTCTCAAGAGAGAAGAAGTCAACCATCCTCACCATTCCATGATCAATAGAATAGAATAGAATAGAATAGAATAGAATAGAATAGATTCTTTATTGTCATTACACAAGTGCAACATTGCACAAAGTGCAACGAAATTGGATGCCATCCCTTAAAACAACAAAAGCAAAACAACAACAACAACCAAACAAACCACATTCCAGCCACACCCACACCAACACCCATCAAACTCCCAGGTCACACTATCGAGTTACAGCATTCAAAAAGGCCACAGCTCTTGGATAGAAACTGTTTTTCAGTCTATTTGTCTTTGACTTGATGTTTCTATATCTCCTGCCAGAAGGCAGTAGTGCAAACAGACTGTGTCCCGGGTGAGATGAATCCTGCAGGATGTTATTTGCTTTCCTAAGACAACGGGAACCGTACAGTTCTTCCAAAGATGGGAGAGGATGACCAATAATCCTTTGGGCTGTGGTTATGACCTTCTGGAGCACCTTCCTCTCCCTAGCTGTACAACTGGAGAACCAAGCACAAATACAGTATGTAAGAATGCTCTCTATGGAGCCTCGGTAGAAGGACACCAGCAGTCTCTCACTCAGATTGTTCTTCTTTAAAAGTCTGAGGAAATAAATTCTCTGCTGGGCCTTCTTCACCAGAGCAGTGGTATGTGCGCTCCAAGTCATGCCCTGATCGATAGTTACTCCCAAAAACCTGAATTCCGCCACCCTCTCCACCCGTTCCCCGTTGATATACAAGGGCTGAATGTCCGCCTTTTTTTTCCTGTAATCCACCACCAATTCCTTGGTCTTAGCCGTATTAAGAGCCAGATTGTTCTCTCCACACCAAACACAGAGCCGCTCCACCTCGTCCCGATACGCGGACTCATCCCCTCCTGAAATGAGCCCTACCACCGTAGTGTCATCAGCAAACTTGATGATTTTGTTGCTGGAATAGATGGCTGTACAGTCATACGTATAGAGAGCATAGAGCAGGGGACTCAACACACAACCCTGTGGTGAGCCGGTGTTAAGGCTAAGGGCTGTGGACATATGTGACCCTACTCTAACCCTCTGAGAACGTTCTGACAAAAAATCCAAAACCCAGAGACAGGTGGAGTTGGAGAGTCCAATCGCCTCTAGCTTGGACACCAGTCTATGGGGGAGGATAGTGTTAAAAGCAGAGCTAAAATCCACAAACAGCAGCCTCACATAACTCCCCGGCTGCTCCAGATGGGACAGAGCAGCATGGAGAGTGGTATTGATGGCGTCTTCTGTGGATCTATTTGCTCTGTATGCAAACTGGTAGTTGTCAAAAGTTGATGGAAGACAGGAAATAATGTGACGGCGCACCAGTTTCTCAAAACACTTCATGATGATTGGAGTCAGTGCAACTGGTCTGTAGTCATTCAAACTACTGATTGTGGATTTTTTAGGCAGAGGGACAATAGTTGACGACTTCAGGCAGGGTGGGACAATAGACTGGTGTAAGGACTTATTGAAGATCTTAGTAAAGACCCTCGCCAGCTGATCCGCACAGCCCTTCAACACCTTTCCAGTGATGCCATCAGGTCCAGCCGCCTTCCTCGGATTCGCCATCCTCAATACCTGTCTCACCTCATGTTCCTCTACCGTGAATGAGGGGCCCCTATGGGCTGGTGGCTGTAATGCCGGCGTCTCAGGTGGCTCCTTCTCGAAGCGAGCAAAAAAGAGGTTAAGCTCCTCCGCCAGCAAAGGGTCACCGTCGACAGCACCAAGGTTAGGTTTGTAGTTGGTAATATGCTGAATCCCCTGCCACATCTGTCTTGTGTTGTTGCTCCTTAAATTATCCTCAATCCTCAGCCTATAATCCAATTTTGCCCGTCGAATACCCCTCCTCAACTTCCTCCTACAGGTCTCAAGAGAGAAGAAGTCAACCATCCTCACCATTCCATGATCAAGGGGGCTGGAGCAGGCGCATAGAGTCCACAGGCCCTAGGGGAAGACCTCAGGGGTGCCACTGTGCTAACAGGTGCCATGTTGGTAACCCCTGCTTTAACACAGTCCTGTGACAGCCATGGTTTATGTGGAAAATGGTTACTTTTACTTTAATAGGAAGTGTGTGCTCATCCTTACTTGGAAGATCATTTATTCCTTCCAATGAGCTCTCTCTCTTTCTCTCTCTGTTTGTTTGTCCTTATCTCCCCGAATTCTATATTTTTAAGGGTTTAAAATCTACCATCAATTCTTTACATCAAAAAACCTATGATGGGAGACACATTGCATCATTGTGCTGGAAATGGGAACTGTGCTTCACAATAACTATGGATTGTATTCAATGTAGCTCTATGACTACAAGAATTTTCTTTGCATGGTGGAACCTTCCCTCCCTCTTCCACTGCGCTAGCACGTATCCTTAGCATGGCTTCTGCTAGCACAACTATTTAGTTGAATATGACCCTATGATTAGTTTAAACCTGCCAGCTCCAGAAACCGTGTTTTGAAACTGTTTCATTTTGAAATTAACTGACCATAATTAGTTATTCTCAGTTCAGGAACAATGACAAATCATGTTTAAGGGGAATGACAGAAAAACCTTCTGAAGTATTCTTCTGGCCATGTGGGAAGAGGGAAGTATGAGGGTTCCAGCTTGCGCACATTGTAGTAAATCAATGTTTAACATGACATGAGAATACGGCCATGGTGAAATAAATTAATGTTTTCTTTACAACAAGTCCTGCATTATCTTTTAGAAGGAACTCCTTAGAAAAACCATTCTTACATTTTCCCTAAAACACTTGAAAAAATAAAAAGATAATGCCGTGACCATATAATTGCTAGTAAGTAAAATGTATTAGAAAAATTCATACTAACCAATAAGAAGAAGGGTTCCAACTGCCAAACCTCCACCTAGGAACAAATTAATTTAAGAAATTAGAATGCATAATAATATTTCCAACAATTAGTAGTATCAAGGAAAGGTGATACAGGAAGTTAAAAATGTAACATGAAAAACATTTTAATTACCTTTATAATACTTCTTACAATTCCCTATTAAATAATTATATATTGCATATAATTATATATCACACACTACAATTACTTTCACAATATGGTGAAAAGATCCTGCATAGCTCTACATAACTAAACGCAAGTACTTTAATAGTGTTGTCACAAGCCAACATTCCTTTGTTTTATTAAGACTATTCTACACATAAAGTAATCCTTCCTCGTTAGGGCAAGTGTTTGAAGAACCTGGTACAGTTAATTCAGTAAGTTGCATTTATCATGAGTCAAAACTATCTACCAGTAGTTGCAGGAACGTTCTCAGCTGCGTATAGGATACTGATTAAAGTTACCGTCCTCTACATTTATCTGGAATCATTCCCACTGAATTCATTAGACTTTATTTTTGTTTAGTTATCTTACAATAGTGCAAGGGTGATAGCCTCCACCTTGCATAAGGGGCCCCTGGTGCTCTAAAAGTTGCAGGACATCAACTCCCATCAGCCAGCATGGCCAACAGTCCAGAACAATGGAAGTTGTAGTCATTCAACATCTGAGGGTCATAGGTTCCCCATCTGTTTATATATACTGTTTGTAAAGTAAGGAAACACTGACATCATTAGATGAAATAATGTAAATTATTATTATTATTTATTGAATTTATATAGCGCCCTAAAGCCAGAAGTCTCATGACAGTAAACAGAAAAGATCATCATAAAAGCCACTATATAATAATAAAAACCCCCACAAAGAGCCACATTTTAAAAGGGCATAGGATGTCAATCAGATCAACCAAAGACCTGATTAAAAAGGAACATTTTTGCAGGACGCCTGAAGGTGTATAATGAAGGCGGCAGGCAAATTTTCATGGGGAAAGCATTCCACAAATACATTGTGAATATATATATCATGTTACATTTTTTCTAAGATATTTAGAACTCTTAGTCTAATAACAGAAATGGGCATCCATAAGTAGTAAGTGGATGAAAGAACTGTATAGGAATGAACACACTGAGGAGCGAGACAAAATACTCTATCTGAAACAGACTAGTTAATGATGATGATGATGATGATGATAACATCTGGGATCGCCAAACAGGAAAAGGATCATTGATGGCAAAGGACACCGTCTACTTGGTAGATGTCAGATTAGGGAGATCCCAGTTTAAATCTTTACACAACAGTGAAACTCACTTGGTAACACTGTGCCAGTCACGCATACAGTACCTTTGGTTGTGAATGGGATCCGTTCCAGAGCCCCGTTTGCAACATAGCAGAACGCAACCTGCGTCTGTGCGTGTTGCAATTCACCGCTTCTGCGCATGATGTCATTTTGAGCATCTGCGTGAGTGGCAAAACCCGGAAGAAACCCTTTCCGGTACTTCCGGGTCGCTGCGGGACACAACCTGAAAACGCTCAACCTGAAGCAAACGCAACACGAGGTATGACTGTACTAACCTACCCCACCCCACAAGGTTGGAGACCTTTGTGGACACCCCTAAGCTCTTTGTGGGAAAGCATATAAAATGCAAAATAAATGAACATACATAATTTTTTTAAGCTAATGGCCCTAGCTTGGATCCAGACCAAGTTAGCTGAATTTCATTCCTATTGAAATAAATGGGATTTCAGTTATGACTGAAATCACTTCTGAATGATGTGTTCATGGTCATGTGTGAAATTTAAATGGCCTCATAATGTGAAGAACTAGATCTTGTATTTTAGAATGGCAGCATCATTCAGGGTGGGGGATCCCAAAATGATCTCATCCCACCTAAAGATTATATATATCTTGGAGAAGGCAAAATAACACAAAAAAATTAAATAGAAGCAAGGATTATAATAATACAAAATTTGAGATGGGGTACAGCCAATGGCATTTGGCAAAAATGTTCAGCTAACAGTTTTCCTATTGAGTAAGCATTAAAATGATCTACTAGCAACTGTTCCCTTTCTAATGATGATAAAATGAGATGGAATCAGTGATAGTTTTTCATTTCCGTTCTTTTCTGTCTGAAGAGCATGTCTTATCTAATCTAGTACAATGGTTGTATCAAGCAGACCACCCAAGGCCTGATTAGTGCATTACACTTTTGAAGGTGTTTGATGTGAGAATTGCATACACATCTATATACTCACAACAAATCTTACTGAACTCATGCCCAGCCAAGCTAATATATAACCAAATATGTGTACTCACTTACAGGTTCGTGTGCATGGGAATCTTAGAATGAGAGTCATATATTGTTTTCCACATGACCCTTTCACACATCTGTTCTGTCAGAAATGGGAACACAGAAAAACCACAAAACTGGAATAGTACCACTGCCAAGCAGAAAAAAAGGAGGGGTAGAATTCTAGCTGCTCAAATTGTTGTTTATTATAAGTAAATTGCATTTGGGAAATTCCTCCTTCGGGGCACATTTTTAACAACAATTCTCGCATCTAATGTATACTGCAGCAACTCCTGCTCCTACTAAATTATCACTCACTTCCTCATAGGCCTTTTCCCTTAAAAAGATGGCAGGGAATTCCCTATGGTAGTGACATCCCACCAAACCACTACATTCCCAAATCTGTGAGCCCATGAAATGACCACCTTTAGATAAAAGACCTGATGCATGATGCAACTCATATCTGAACATAAAGAGATACATGAAGTTCTAGCTAGATTCAAAATGAGAGTCCTAAGTGTCAGGAAGAAGAAATTAATTGTAAACCAAGGTCTTGACCACAATGTGCATGTCCCACTGGCTTCAAGTATGATTATTGAAAAGTGAGGACTAAATTGGCCTTAAGCATCATTTTACACCTGAACCATTGTGTTTTATTTATAACTTGCACACACAGTGCACAACTCCTTTAGAAGTTTCAACGTGACTACCGTGAGGTGTCAGAAGTTTCCCAAGCAGACACATCAGGTCCACACCAACTTTATAGTAGCTTGAAAACAACTCCATTTTGTTTATTTTGCAGAAACTAGCCACTTGGGCACTTTGGGTATGAAGGATGCACAAGTTTAAAAAAGAACGAATAAAAGAACTAATTGTTCCCACACAGTTCTTTTAACATACATGCCCAGTCTCTAGCACAACGCACATTTAACTCAGTATTTGAGAAGTTTTACAGCAGTACAAGTCAAATGGGCTGAGGGTGGTCTGCAGGGTGAAACTGGTGCACGCTGCAGCTATTACATGGATATGTTGAATACTGCTAGGTTCCACTCAATCCATTCGTATCTTGCTACTATATGCCCTGGAGCGTTAGATTTTCGAGTCTCTTTTAAATTCGATATTGAGCAGACCTACACAGAGCCTCTACACAGAAACTGCTGCGTGAGGCTGCTTTGTATTCATGGACGCTTTGATGCGAGAAGGCACTCGTAGGCAACGCCATCCTGACGGCATGGCATCAGCGAGCGAGCAAGGGGAAACACGCGAAAGGAGGACAGCCAGCCAGTGGCTAGATGACGGCACGTCTCTTTAAAAAAGCCATGCCTGCTCTGCCGGGACGGACTCCACTTCTCATCCTCAAGGCTCCGCGCGCATTTCAAGAACCCATGCTCTCCTCGAGCATCCTCAAGTTTCCTTGGGCGGAATACTTAGCCCCCTGGGACAGCGGAGAGTAAGTACCACGGGGCTCGGTGGGAACGCGGGGGTCGAACCCACAGCCCTGTCCCAGCACGAGGCGGCCGGATCCGTCCCGCTCCCCACCCCCGCTTCCCCTTCTCTCGCAGCCTCCCTGCTTTCCTCCGCGCACACTGAGCCCGGCAGCGGTTCAGTCAGGAGGGAAGAGGCTCTGGGACTCGGAGGGGCTGCTACTGAGGGGAGCCAGGCAGCCCCCCCAGTGCCTCGCCTCGCCTGCCCTCCGAGGCCACCTCAGCCCGCTCGACTACCGCGAAACCCGCACGGGGAGGTGGCGGGACGTGTCAGGAGACTGCGCAGCGCTGCCGGCACCAACCTAGCACATAGTCCAGAGAGGGGACCCCGCTGGAAAGCAGCAGCTGCCCGTGCCGGACCGAGGGCCGGGTGCCCGGCAGAACGGCCAAGCGGCCGCCTCCTCCTCCTCCATCCGGCCCTTTCCTTTGGAAACTCGTCGTAGCCCTGGCACTCGGCTGCTGTTGGGCCGGCCCGCCGGTCGCCAAGGCCGCCATCTTAGCTTCTGCGCCGTTGACAGGGAAGAGGCGACCGGCGCGGAGGAGGAGCGGCGGGGCGGGTGGAGAGGGGACGGACGCGCGGCGAGCCAATGGGGAGGCCGGTTGTTGGCAGGCGCAGTGGCGTCGGCTGGGGGTAGGCGAGGAGGGCTCTCGGTTCCCTGCGGTTTCTGGCCCAGGCAGGTGAGTCAAGGGCAGGAAGAGGCAGCTCGCGAGCCTGTCGGCAAGAGGTGTCGTTCGTAGCGCTCCGTGAGGGAGGGGAGAGCCAGTCGGGCCTTTCCAGGCAACGGGACGCTTCTGAGGAAGCTATTTTAAAAAATAAATAAATAAATTTGGAAGCGAGATACAGTATACTGTACTTCCCTCTTCCTGTTTAGGTGCAGGAAGTGGTGTGACCCTGGGGGAGTGGGGTGAAAAATACTTGCTGCTACCTGTGACGAGTGGGCCGGAGCCCCCTCACCTCATTCCACCCACCTGGCTCGTTATGAGAACTTTCTAAAGTGTTGGTGTTCTGTGCATACTTACCCGAAAGTAACGCCCTCCCCTCCTCCAACCTTGGGGTTGACTGGAGAGTAAGCATGCATTGGATCGTGCAGCAGTGAAGTCGTTTATTCGAATTGTTTTCCGTGTGTGTTAGCTTACCAGCTAATGCTGGTGAGGCCAATTGGGAAGGTGGGTGGTTGGTGCCTGGCACAGTTAAGACTGTAATTCGGAGGTTTCTGAGGATTTCATTGTACATGACTCAGAAGGTCCTGGCTACACGGCGGAAAAGCCACGTTAGCTCTCCAGGATTAATGCAGAGTAGCACTCTTAATCACTTGCTTGACCTTGGCTGTGGAGACCCATTGGAACTTGTACATGGATACCAATTTAAATCGCTTTATATGGCAGTGAAATTTTGTGTATACCTTCCTGTTGCGCATATTAGGTTCCCACTTCATATTTACCCCGCTGCAGGCCATGGAGAGGGAAGGGTGGGAAAGGATGGGATCCTGGTTCACGGGGTGGGTCAGTAGACCGTTACAATTTGCCTTGCAGAGCAATTTGAAGCATCCTCCATTTGCATTTTAACATATGCATTGCCTCTGAACTCTTGAACCTGGACTTGCCTTCAGCTATATATATCTTCTGTTGAGATCAGTGCACTAGTGAAAGTGCACAGGGACGGACAAGTATAAAGTGCTGGCAAAATGTTGAAAAATGTTTCATCCACAGATGTGACTACTTCAGAAGATTATTGGGTCTTTTCTCCCATCACCAGATTCTTTAAGAATACTTATGTTAATGTCATCTAGACCCAAAGATTGGTTTGTTTTTTTGTTTTTTATTCTATCCAATAAGAACTTTTGTCTCTTGCCATCACTATTTTCCTCAGTTTCCCTTCCTGAGAACGTTACTTCAGGCACAGGGGTCTGCCCAACATCTTCCACACTGAAGTCAATGCAAAGAATCCCTTCAGTTTCAGTCTCCTTTTTCTCTTTTAGTATGCCCTTAATGTTTCAATAACACACTCTGCAAATTTTTGCATCCTTCAGTATCTGCTTTCATTTCTTTTGCCACAGTTCAGGTTCCTTTTTATTCTCATTTGGAAAAGACTTCTGTTTCCTGACATGAGCCTTATTGCCTCTAATATCTCCCGTGACTCTGCTCATTAACCATGCTGGCATCCTCTTGGCTTTGGTGAGACCTTTCCTGATCTGTGGTGTACATTCTATCTGAGATATAAATAATTTTTAAAAACAGTAAGCATCTATCTGCTAATGGGTATGGGCCAATACATTCCAAAGTCAGGTTGCAACTAGATGCAAGCAAGGTCATTTTAGGGGGTGAAACTTTTTTTTTGGTAAATTTCTTTAGTGAGGGCCTTAAAAATATGTTATTGGGTGTGAGTTAAAATCTGCTGTTATTTTTTGATTGGACAAGATTTAGCTTGGTAAGTCTGCATTTAATGAAGAAGCACATAAACTTCTTTTGGAATTTTAGTTTTACCTTCTGAAAATGTCAGATAATGCTAAATGATAATGATAATAATATTAATATTAAATATAACTGCAAGTAACCATTTTTTAACAATTTCTATGCAATTTTACGCACATTTTACTTACCAAGCAAAGCGAAATTATATTTAATTTAACCAAAATATATTTTGAACTCCCAAGTCATGTTACAACTTTTTAGCACCCCTAATTTTTGAAATTTGAAAGTTACAAAAAAGTTACAAAATTTAACATACCCTAAGGCTGTAAGGTACTTTTTAGCACGATGAGACATTTTGTTTCTTTTTTCATATGGTGTAAATATTAAAATCTGTATTTGAATTTATAAAATTCTATAATTCTTATTTTCACAAAGCCATGCTAATTTGAATACTTTCATCATTGTTTCTCATACTGAAGGAGAGAAGCAGGTGATTTAGTGGAGGGGGTAACACCTGCACTGTCGTCAGTTACATTGCTATTTTAAATAATCTTCTTAGCGGCACCTGTCCTTTATACACAAAACCCTCTTTTCTCATCGGTTCTGGAATGTAATAGTATTGGATTTTGTTGATTAAAGTTTTATAGTCACTAAATCAGATTAACTGTTGAGTCATCTGACAAGGAAAGCTACCAGCCATGCGGTACAGCTCCCTGAAGTGTCTGTGCTGTGAGCTCAAGCTTCTTGAGATGTTCTTAGGTATTTCAATAGAATGGGTCAGAGACTACAGGTGCAAAGATGATGGCTTCATTTTCTTAATCCTTTTACAAACAAAGAGGGGATAAGCTTGAGAAATCTAGTACCTTCAGTCCAGAAGCCAACATTTTGAAAACACATTGCACCCAGCAAGTTCCATAACATGCCATCCAATCATAGGCATTTTGGAATTTCTTCCCCAAATGCCTGTGTGATGCCGCTTCTCTTCAAGCGTCTGTACAAAATCCACCTTTTCTGTTAAGCCTTTGATGTAACCACTACTTCTCATGCCTTACTGTAACTGGGCCTGTAACTCTAAGCACCTTTAATGGAAACAACTGCCTGTTGCCTTCCCTTTCTTGTGTTGTTTCTTGTGTGCAAGCTTTTTGGGGCAGGAACCTGTCCTCTAAGTGCCATACAGACAGCTGCTGCTAAAAAAACAAAAAAACCCACCATGTTCAGTGGAGCTTACTCCCAAGTCATTGTGCATATTATTAGAGGCTGAAAAGTTGTTTCTTAGCTCTTGGATCCTGACCATGGTGGTATTCTGTGGTGCTTCAAACCTGTTGTATTGTTTTCTTTGTTGCACAGATATAACCCATCCAAATTGCAAGCTTGCTCGTGTAGTGAAGTGTTAAGGCTGAAGTTTTGTTTTTTTAAGTCATATAATTTCATGAAAAATACATGGATTTATATATATTTTATAAGTGCCAACTTAATTATAGTGGCTGCATTCCAGAAAGACAGACTGGTGTGTACAAGTAGTGCTAGTCCACAATTTGCTATGGAAAATCAAAGTTCCCTGGGCAAACTTGATGTCTTCCATCTCATTGCTGGGGCTATGGATTGCGGCCATATTGTACAAACAATAGATGGTATTGTGGAGATGGGTCTTTCTGGGAACCATCCCAAGGAAAAACAGAGAGCATAGATTAAAATAATTATTGCTGACTTTTAAAAGCTTCCAGAATATTAAAAAGGAACACAAAAAAGAAATGCATACTATTATTTCCAAGGTTTCAATAATATAATATAAATGGTGTAATCCTAGCTTGGTGCAAATTAGCTGAATATTTAACATGAGGAGAAAATTAGGAATTTTGGTGCTGGAAAATTATTTTCTCATAATGAACTATATCTTTGTAAGCTATAGAATAGATTGGATCAATTCTTGCCTAAGAAAACTTACTTTCTGATAAACTGCAGATAATCTAGTAGCATCTCTATGTCTTAACAATTTAGGCTGCAGTCATATATAGTATGAGTAAGTAAGTCCCCATGAATTCAGTAGGGCTTACTTCTGAGTAGACATGTACAGAATTGCACTGTTAGTATAGCATGAGCTCTTGTGGGTTATATTAGATGCATACGATTTTCCCGTGTGTTGGGCTCTACCCTTTTTGATTCCCTCCCATATTTTTCAGTTTTTCTCCAGGCTGAAATGAGCACAGAAAGTGGGCATTATAATTGTTTTACATTTTTATGATTTCCAAGAATCAAACAAAGACATGTCTCAAGTTGCCAGGTTGTGAAACAGCATGTACTACTACCAGTCCTACTGTTACTATTACTATTACTGCAAGTGCTTTAGAAGCTTATTATCAAGCCTTTTATTTTAACATCAGTTGTTACCATGAACACATGTAAGATGCAGGTTCATATGCATGTGTGTACGGACACACAAGGAAATCAGGTGACACTGTGAAGCAGATCACTATGAGATACCATTCATGCTTTATATTTTTCCACTCCTTTGGATGTCTGAACTGATTTTCACTCCCATATTAGTGATAGATAATAGGAGTTGGAGAGCATGAATTGCCTGGGGCCACACCAAGAGTCCATGGCAAAGATGAGAGTCTCTGATCTGACATCAGGTCTCTAGAACTTTTCCCACTGATACACATAGTTTCTGTTTCTCTAGCATCAAAGGACTACTATTATAGTAACTTCTCTTTTTTTTTTTTTAAATAATTTTTATTAATTTTCCAAACATATAATAAAACAAATAACAAAACAAAATCATACAAGACATACAAACAAATAAACATGTATAATTTCTTAAACTTATTTTCATAAACCTTCTTTCCCGGACTTCCCCATACCTCCCTTTTTCTGCATCCTTATATTAACCTTTTCTCAGCAACCCTTCGTTTCAATTTATTCAGTCATATTCATTATACATTTTTCCTAAAATTAAGATTTACAGCTGCAATTCTCTATTTCTTATAACCATGACATCTCAGCCATCATCAATTTTACAACAGTCTTTAAGATATTTTTTAAATTTCTTCCAGTCTTCTTCCACCGTTTCTCTCCCCTGGTCGCGGATTCTGCCGGTCATCTCTGCCATACCCATATACTCAGTCACCTTCGCTTGCCATTCTTCCAGAG